GTTATTTGTGCGTAATTAAGTATAACGAACCAAACGGCAATTGGAACTCGGCTCTCTGATCAAAAATTCCAAGTCATTATCCATTACACCACCCGCACATCCAATCTTGCTGCACCTGGTATTCCCAAACGGTCATTCATTTAGGTACTGACCAGACTTGACATTGCTTAACTTAAGGGAACTGGTGGAAAACAAAGAAAAGAATTTTGAACTATTATGTCCACTTATATGGCAGCGAATGTTGAACAATTTTCTTATAGATGAAGAACTGAATCGAGGCAACAGTAATCTGGTTCTACAGAAAAATACTGAGAAAGCCATACACAGCACGTGAACAATACGGAAACTTTAAGAAGTTTTAAGGAGTTTTAAGGAAAATACAACTTAAAATCAAGAAGACAGAATGCGTGGTGGTAAGCAAAAGGGGCAACCCAACATGTAAATTACAAATTGGAGATACCAACATCAAACATGTAGTTATCTGGGATGTGTTTCAACAGAGGACGGAAAGTGAGACACTGAAATCCGAAGGCGCACTAGGATAGCAAAATATGCTTTCTAAGCGCTAAGCAAAGTATTAAGAATCAGGAAAATTTCGTTAGAAACAAACAAAAGAGTACTGAACTCTTACGTGATATCTGTCTCCCTACCTGGCAGTAAAAGCTGGACAATCTCCTCACAGACGAAGAAGAGACTTGAAGCATCAGAAATGTAGTTCCACAGAAGTTGTCATAATTTAGTGATCCTACTAGAACCGGTGTTTTGAATTAATGTGTCCGTAAGCCTGCGGGGCATATTGAAGGCGACTGGGGGGACAGAGGAAATCAGCGAATAACCCGCCTAACAGGCTGAGATAAATAAATGGGAGAACAGTGATTGGTAGGGATGCTGAAAAATCAAAGCTTACTAGGGACTATGAAGGATAGGAAGTTGTGGAGATCCATGATCGCCAACCTCATGAATGGTTATAGTTAACGCAGCACAACAAAGAATATATATATATATATATATATATATATATATATATATATATATAGATAGATAGATAGATAGATAGATAGATAGTGGTAAATATACATACATATGCAAAATATATAAATACACATACATGTATATTTTTTGAATAAAATTCAAGAGGAAGAATCCAGGTAGAACTCAATGTCCACGACAGAGTAAGGATAAAATAAAATAAAACTAATAAAAATATATATATATATATATATATATATATAATTAACAAATCAGAAACTTCAGAAAGCCATGGTAATATTTTATTTCATGAGACAGATAAAAATTGATCGATTTCGCTTCGTCAGATCTTGCGATTAAAAAAAACAAACAATTTTCTTACAAATGAAGAACTGAATCGAGGCAACAGTAATATGCTCCTACAGATAAATACTGATAAAGCCATATACAGATCTGATAAAACACACACACACACACACACACGCACACACACACACATGTATGTGTGTGTGTGTGTTGTTTAATTCTGTTATTTTCTGTATTTTAGAACAGAAAGTACAAAGTTCACTGTCAGTTTATTTAATATTTCACATTTTCGTTTGATTTCACTCATTAGCAAGACGCAAATTTCATTTTGTTAGATGACTGTGTACCTATATATTAAATACTAGCTAAATACTCGTTCTACAAACATAGAAAAGCAAGTTGTAATCGAAGTTTTCTTAATTATTTTATTAATAGTCATATTTAAATCAGTATCAGATTTCAATTTTTGAAATGATATTTTCTACAATTAAATACGAAAAAGATATTTATTTTATACCTTTAACATTAAAATCAATTAAAATGAAATTACTTAGTATTTTTAAATAATTCTCTAGTGATTTAGTTAAAATAATTAACAATGATTAATTTTTGTATTAATAATAATAATTTAGCTTACTCTCTTTTAGCTTGTTTCATTAATTTCGTATAGGTTTAAGAAAATCGAATTAAACAGATTTTGACTTATTTAGAAAATTCTGGAAATCATTTATTCGGCTGCGTTTGGCTAATTTGTAATAACGTGAAATGTCAGACAACAATGGTTTCTACGAAGGCTGCAGGGAACATGATCGTAAGTAATATGCCAGGCCAAAAATTCTATAAAAATCCAATATTTTTAAACTTTGTGTCTGCTTCGAAAAAAAAAAAAAAATTAAATATTTAAATAAAAATAAAATAAAATAAAAAAGTAAAAACCATTATTTCTAGAAGGCAAAAATTACGTTTATTTTAGGTTTTCTTTAAATTTAAACACTGATATTTTTTTAAGACTGTATTTTGACAAGTTAAATATAAATTCTTTTAACACAAACATGGCGAATTTCAAAATATACAAACTTTATCAACAGAAATATTGCTTGCATATCACAAGTTTTAAAATGTGCTTTAAATATGAATACCACAGATTAAATATTTATGAAAATATGCTTCAAAAAGAATTATGTAGATTAAATTTAACAACTAATGTTGTTATTATGTTTTGATATGCATATATAAATCACCTTCTGACGAAGCTTTAATAAAAATGAAACATGTTAGATTGAGATTCGTTTCCGACTTGTTCTTTATTTTATCGGATTCATATCTGTAATCCGAAGTTATAATTGCTTTTATTGACTATTAATCACTTACAATTCAGAGAAAGTGCTCTTTTCACTTTTCAAAAGAGAGTACCAAAAGACGCAGGATACTGTCAAACCTGATTGATATTATGCGATGCCTTGCCGGAAAACCTTATCATGAAGCAAAAATAGGCATAATTATCATGATAGTTGCGATAGTCATACAATACACTATCTCACTCGATGGTGAATAGCAACATGGTAATGGCAATATCAGACGTTTCTTTATAAGGAAACATTCGGTATCCATTAACCAAGAAGGATATATATGTGTTATATACTGTACCTATGAATACTAATGGGTATGTCCCAATTCTCATAAATACGTTGTATTAACTCCTTCCCCCCACTTGGACGAGATGTGGCACAAGGTCTTTTTTAGGTGGGGACTCAGGCGCGTACACCCGGGACAAGGACAAAAATTTCCCTCAGCCCCAGTGCGAGCACTGATCCCTTCCTCTGGCGCAATGGTAGGACGCAGCCTCGGGCAGCTGTTCCCCAAGGCTGGGCACCTCTTCAGTATAATTTTCCTCAGTTGCCCCTCTGTCCTTTGACAGAGAAGCCCCTGATCCCACTCTGTCCAAGGACAGAGACGCAACTGAGAGATGATAAGCCTGCGTTAGAAACTTCTCCAATGACGTTTAAAGTAAGAAAACATGACAGAAATAAAAAAAAAACAAAAACAAAAAAAAACTATTAATCCTTTAAAATACATGTGGGGAGAGATAAAGAAAGAGAGAGAAAGAGAGAGAGAAAGAAAGAAAGAAATAAAGAAAGAAAGATATGAATAATCTTGAAGAGATAGACATGTACTGACTGATATGCATTGGATGAAAGAGATAGATAGACAGACAGATAGATAGATATATAAATGTTATGAACACTAATGGGTATGTCCCCATCCTTATAAATACGATGGACATTATTATAAGTGGGGGTAATATGCTGTCTAAGTAATTCACCACTAGAAGTGGTTTACCTACTTCACGCCGCTGGCGAGTATTGTATTGATGTTATAAAGATTACCATTTCATTTACAACCTCCATTTTGGGTATTCTACATCCAGTACCCTTTCCTAGGTTACAACACGGTGCTAATCGAGTTACGCCTTTTTTCCCGTTCCCTGGCTATCTGTCTGTGATTAAAATATAGTATCAGTTCTCCTCGTATTGAATGATAATATTAACCGTTTCCTTATATGGAAACATTCGATATTCATTTACCGAACAGCGAGTGTAACTGACAGCCGTCCTTGGTATGGTGATAAACTATATCCGACAGCAAGGCCTCTGATCAAGAGCTTTTGAGGAGCGTTGAACCACCTCTTAATCGCTGGTGTTCTCAGGTCCACTCTAACCCGGGGTGGTAGCACCTGTTAGGTTAACTCCACACATGAGAGAGATGGACAGTTGCATCTTTATTCGCCATGATAATGTGCCACAGTCAAAATGCCGTGACAAGACCCCTAAATATGAAAGGGATGTTGAATTAAACACCCGCCTCCTTGTCGCAGTTAAATAATGTAATTTTTCTTTCATATTGGTTTTCATCAGAGTCCCAGCTATGAGCAAATAGTCATTCCCCACCCCCCGCCTAAAAGGGGTCCAAACACTATGAATTTACAAAAATAGGTTTTAATGCCAGCAATACTTTTTTGAAAAAAAATTTACCAGCAATACATTTTTGAAAAAAAAATAATACCAGCAATACATTTTTGGGAAAAAATATTACCAAAAATACTTTTTTGAAAAAAATTATTACCAGCAATAAAAATCTTGTCGGCATTAAATAACCCATTGAGGTTGATATGCCGTAAAACAAAACAAACTAAACCAGCAACTGTCAGCTGAAATTGAAAAAAATAATTCTATTAAAAGAATACAAAAAATAGCTTTCTCAAGTTTAATAGCTGTTATTGCCGTTTCCAGTATTGACGGGGGTTTCCTTCCTAAACTTTTGTTTGAAGTGGTGTGGATTGTCAACATTTTGATTATCTCATTATTTTCTCTGAGAGTTATTTGTAAAATCCATTTCAGCTGTTTCTCTTAAGACAGTTTTATATGGAAAATAGGTTTCTCAAGTCTAGTATCTGTTATTGTTCTTTTCAGTATCGATGGGGATTTCCTTCCTAATCTTTTGTCTGGAGTGGTGTGGAACGTCAACATATTATGTCATTATTTTTCCTTGAGTTAAATGCGCTATTCATTTTAGTCGTTGCCGTTGTTGAAAGTCTCCTGAGAAAGCATTTCTATATAGCTGAACGATTTTGGTGCTGTGCCTGATATTTATAGGAAATTCTCGATATGACAAGGCTATTTAAGAACCCGAGAGCTTTTGATTAAAAATGAGCCGTAAGGCCCGATATGCTTGCCCAGTTACATCAAGGCCATGATATGGTTGGATATTTTTTACGTCAATGATTCTAGTTCAAAGAAGATTATTTTAAGAACATAACATCTATCTGTTTGGTTTGAATTTGTTATATTCACTTGGGAAACCCTTGCATCTACCTCCTCCACAACTATGGGTTAAATAGTAAAACTTGGAAAAATCAATGTAATTCTCAAAAAAATATTACTGTGATATTTTATTCTTACAACCCAATTCAAGTCAAAATATATAAAGGGTTGATAAACTGTAAATACAAATCAATTAACTTTTGTTTTTTCTTTGGAACAAGGACAGAAATTTATCCCTTGTGTCCTGTTTGCCATCCTGATTATGTGATGCCTTGACGTGGTAAGACGGTTTGCATGCTTCGATGACCCACAGAGCTATGTGGTCGGAGGCTTCGGTCCTTAGCAGGTCCAACCAAACTCAACCGGCCTGTGGGCTCGGAGCTAGACGAAAGACACACCCTAGTCCTCCAGATTGGGAGTTGTGGAGTAGACAATCAACCTACTCACTTAAAAACTAGCTTGTTACAGAAAAGTCAACGATATTTTCCAACAACGACATGGCCGAGGAAGAGTCCTTCAAAGTGGAGCGTATGACGCGTGCCGGTGAAAATCCACCGGGGAAGTGAAGACAGCCGGTACTACATGGGCCAAGCTGAAGAGGATCGCCCGGAACCGTGTCCGTCGCTGAGCTGTTTTTTACGGCCCTATGTTCCGCAATGGATCAAGAGACATAAACAAATATTAAATATCGTATAAAATCTTTTTAGATGCATATGTACATACACATACAATTTGAATTAAATAGAAAAGGACTTCTGTGCCATGGGGGCTTATATTTCCTGATTGGCAACAATCCTTTAAATATTAAAACTCATCCTGATGGTTTGTCGCCTTGGTATGATAGGACGGCTTGCGTGCTTCAACGACCCCCAGAGATATGTGGGCGGGGGCTTTGGCCCTTAGCAGATCCATCCAAGCTCAACAGGTCTGTGCGGTAGGAGCCGACGAAAGACACACCCTGCTCTTCCAGTTTGGTGTGTGTGGAGTAGGCTAACAACCTACTTACTTAAAAACTAGTTTGTTAGAGAAAACTCAGTTATTTTCAAACAACGACATGGCCGAGGAAGAATCCTTCAAAATGGAATGTATGACGCAAGCCGGTGAAAATCCCCCGGAGAAGTGAAGACAGCCGGTACGACAGGGACCAAGCTGAAGAGGATCACCTTGTCCGTTAGAGAGCTGTTGTTGTGGCCCTATGTTCAGAACTCTGAAATTCTATTTACTATTTATTTATTTAAAAATACATCCTCAATAGTAGTAGATAGGTTCAATGGTTTGCATTGGTTGTCTAGTTTTCATATCTCCTCGGTTTATGAACAGGAGTAGCTGTTTATCCCTTGTTTCCTGTTTAGGATTGAGTTTCCGGTTCCTTCTAAAGTTTTTTCCTTCTCTTTCACTTCCGCTGGCCTTTTGCGTCTTGGTCGTATTATCACTTTGCTTAGAGTGGTTCATCTTACTCTGTAATCATCTACCGCGAATGGCTTTCGGACTTTCTGCAGTTTGGACAAAAAAAACTTACCGTATGCCGAAAAAAGGAAACTAAAGCGGTTTTTAATTAATTTGCACAATGGTGTTATATATATCTGAAGATACTACACAAAATGCAAAGAAGGGTTTGTAATTTTTATTTATCACGACCTGACACTTCGACTTCGGTCACTGTCTTTTCTATAAATAGTTTCAAGGCAATTATTTTAATGGGCTATCCTTCTTCTTATATTCACCCTATAAATTTGAACGTACTACGAGATTGGCAAATAAATCTCACCGTTTAGAACTTTCTTCTGGATTCCCTGCCATCTTTGATCTTCAAACATTTAAACTTCAATCGTCATTTTGTGTCTCCTTGAAACCTGTTCTTTTATTGTCCTTTTTGTACACTAAAATTTTCTCGTACATTTTACTGACGTCTTAATGAGGTTATCGCTTTTCTTACAGTGAGATAATAAAAAATCATATAATTCGATGGTCGCCTTGTGGTGGGTTAATGGCTAACGAGCTAATCTGGTTGACCATTACTATTGTGAAACGAGTGTTGTAATAAATGAGTGTCCTGTACGTGTAGATTTGTGTCGTAATTAAGCTAAACTTAGCAAATAGAAAAGTCTCTACGTAATGCTTTTGAATCTGCAGCAGTCTTCCTCTTTATCTGTTATATATATATCTGGAGATTTTTTTTTAAGCATTACGCCACGAGCAAGGCGTGAAGCCATTAGGATGCAGGGGGTTGCAGACGATTTGGAGCAAGAGCAGATAGGATTGATAGAAGAAAGGATGAGAAGAGGGATAGTGGGTAGATCAAGGTAACTGGAGGTGTCGATTGACATTACATTTGAATAGTTGGAGATTATAGCTCTCAGGGAAACAGTAATTGAGAAGGGTATTCCACAGGCGAGAGGTGCGAGGTACGAAGCTCTTGGAGTAGAAGAGACGGCTACATTTAAAAGTTTCTACAGTGTAAGGGTGGGAGCGGGATGCCAGCCTCGTAAGGCGCTTGAATTCATGGAGTCTGGGAACCAGTGAAAGCAGCTCATCGGAGCAATTACCATGAAAGTATTTGTAGAAAAGACAGAGAGAGGCGACGGCGCGTCTGTGAGAGAGTGAGTGTAGACGAGACGCCAGATCAATTATATTACATATCCGTCTCTGGATCTTGTCAAGAACTCCTAGGTA